GACGCGGCGTCCTAGCCCCGAGGTGTGAGCAGAGGCGGCGTGTGGGGAGACGGGCCGTCCCTGGGCTGCGGGACGCGCCTCAAGTGGGAGACGCGGAGATCGCTTCCGTGCGAGAAGGGGAAAGACTGGGTTCCCTGGGGACCTCTACGCCACAGCTCTGCCTTTCTAGTTGCTGCCGTCCTTCATGCCGCAGTAACGTCCCCGGCCTGCAAACCGACTGGTGCTGGCGATTCAGTATTAAGTGAGAGAAAAATGACATGTTGTGTGGAACACCCGTCCTGAAATGAGTGATGAGCTTCATAATAAAGGGCGTTCGAGATACGTGGGTGGATGAAATTTTATAGCTGTGGGAGGTGAGGCAGAGAGAGAATTTTCAGCTTGAAGCAATTGTTTTTGGCTCCGTAACAAACCTCGGCGTGGCTGTGGCTCGCAGCTGCCTGGGATGCTGCAATGCTACTTACACAACTTGTTAACAGAGGTAATTGCGATGGTGCAGCTTATTACCAGAGCTGAATTCAGGAGGATGTGGTGGTGCAATTAAAAAAAAAAAGTACCTGAATAAAATGCAAAGCGTTTTCACTAGTTAGTGTGGAGCAAACATCCCTTTTTCTGTTTTGATATACAGTGGACTTGTTACCAGTTTGAGCCTCGCTCATCAAATTCATAATCATACATGCAACTATGCTGCAAATACTTTTTCTTATTTCGAGGTTATATTATGAGGTACCGCTATCAAAGAAAGAGGATCAAGACATTTTGGCTCCAGGGAGACAGACTCTCAGTAGAGAATTCTGTCTGATTTTCAACAGAGAGATCAGTGAGTTCACTGATGAAACGCTGTAAAAATAAGTAATTCTTATGAGGAATTTTATGTCTTATTCCCATTTTACAAACAGACTTGTGAGGCATGGGGGGCTGCAGTAATGGTTATAAGGCCACACAGGAAATGTAGCCCAAAACATGAGAATACTAAGCTAGCGTTCTTACAGTTATTTCCTACAGAGGTCCCCTTTATGTACCAGCTCATGAGTGTTAATTTATTTTGAATTTATTATATTCACATAAAGTGTTGAAGCTAAACCACAAAGGACCCTGCTGTATTCCTGTCACCAAAGTACACGGCGATGCTCTGATGACTTCAGGTTCGTTCTTACAGCTCCACCATTAAAGTGTTGGTGAGTTAAAGTATTCTGGGTAACAACGTGAAAGTAAGCCAGTATCAAAGATGTCACTCTGTTTCAAAATTCCTTCTAAATTTGTCAAATCAAGTCTCATTTAAATGGAAGTGGAGTTTATCTATGCTAGATATATCTATATTTTCTCATTGTGCAGACATATTACTATGAGACGTACACTACAGTGAGAAGTAGACAAAACATAAAAAAGCTATAGGTCAGTTGCTTTCCTTCACATCTCGTTATCTTCATACAGCCTTGAGAGGGAAACCGCAGCATACGCCATCCAGTCAATTAACTGAATCACACTCATATTTCTTCAACCAAATATCCGCTCCCATTTCTGATTATAAGCCCAGATTGCACTTCAACCCAAAATTTTGCTATTTGAAGGACAAGCTCGCTTTAAGATGAGTCATGCCATTTTTTTTTTTAGAATATCAATAATTGTACAGAGACTTTCACTAATACCTGGATCTCCCTTTTTACGATGAGACAGCAAATGACAAGGCGGCAGCTAAATGACTAGGCCGTAGCTCTGAAAAGCAAACCCTCAAGATTATAGTGAATCACAAACTGGGAATGAGTCAGGAATGTCATACTGCTGTCAAGAGTCACGAAGAGAGTGACAAGAGTGACCTGTGAGGAAAGACTGAAGTGGCTCAGTCTAGAAAAGGTAAAATGGGCAAAATAGACCATTGCAAAGAGGGAGACATACGTTGCTCTGCATGACCACTGGAAAATGATAGGCGGAGCAAGGAGATTATATTGCAAATTAATATTGTACCTGTGAGGTGGGGGCAACACTGTCATTACCTAGGAGGATTGTATTATGTCCATCACTGGAAATTTTAAGAGCAGGTTAGACAAACGTCTTTTAGGAACAGTTCAAGTAAAGTTAATCCTGCCTTGAGACAAGGGACTGCACTAAAAGCACTGAAAAGAAAAAAAACAACCTGCCTTTCATGGCAGTTTTCAGGATTTATCCTTCCAGAAGCTTTTCTGATCTCTGCAGTGCGGCAGAAAATGCAATACTCTATACTGCCCTACAGAGGCTGAAAGCCTGCAGCTTTTGTTAAATCGTCTTTCAGATTTCCATTTCTGTTTTACAGTCTTTCGGTTCAGGAATGTCATTATGAGAACAGACTATTTCATGTTGTCTCTGGCTGATTCAGTGCTTCTACTGCAGGGTACTCCATTGCTTACTATTTCTTGATACTCAGCTGAATTATTCCGCGGCTCTTTATTAAATTAAGGTCCAAACCCATGTCAGCTTTCTGAAAAGACTAATATGACCCTCTTTTCCAAATCATGGTGAGAACAACTTGGTTGTAACCCTTCAGTTCTAGAAATGCATTGCCTTAAACTTTGACACGGTTGCCTTTGCTGCATAATTTTCAGTTGTCCGGTGCCTGACTCTCAATGTCCTGATGTTTACATTGCCGTACCCAGAATTTCCAGCATTGTCCCATTTGGGGACACTAGTGCATGCATAGTAGTCCCTCTGAACTAGCAGTATGTCTTTCCAGGCAAAGCCGCTAGCTTCCGCTCTCTGTTGTTACAGGATTTCTCCGTCCGTGGTAGAGGAGTAGAACTGAAATGTAGTTACGCTGGGAAGACACGCTCTCACCATCAGGCTTATTAAACTCTTCCTGTCACCACATATGTGGTAATGTCCTTTAAAATCTACATAAGCATTTGCAATCATGTACTCTCAGCCTTTCTGTGGTTTATGGTGTCCTTTCACAGTAACAGTCATATTACAAAGCTCGTCAGGAATCATTTAGATGAAACAGTCCATTTACACAATAAGAGCTCAGTTCATATGATATTCACTAATATTTAACAGCTAATATTAACTAATTTTCATGCTGTGAAGATTCTACTGCCAGTA